TCAAGCATGTCGAGTGGCATAATATTGACTACGACACCATTATCAATCAATACTTTACCTACTAGAAAGCTATTATAAATATTTTAATATAGAAAAGGTTTTATATTTTTGCTTTTGGATATCTCTCGGTTTTTTAAAAATGATTAAATGCTTACTAGTAGACATTTCTATAGCTTGGATTAACTTTTCCTTAATATCATCCATTTCCACTTTTGTAATAGAGTTATTGAGGACATCCTCTTGTCGATATTTTGAATGTCCCGCCTTAGCCAAATAATCATCTAGCAAAGTAAGAACCATGTTGCACTCAATTGATTTTATCAATCTTATAGTAGGACTCTCGTTATTTCAAGGGTTTTCATCCATAATGATCTCAAAATCATCATTATTATCCGAAATATTTTTTGTAACTAAACTCAACAACGACCTTTTTTTTTTTCGAACTCGAGGTTCCACTTGACATAATATTGATTCGGGCTAGCCTCTTTGCAGAATCTTGACCTTCATCCCAATATTTTCATCTTGGGACGAGTTGGACCTTTTTTACTTCTATCATTTTTTATAACCATCTCTTTTTCTGAGTTTTAGACATAGATGGAGGACTACCATGTTTTGGTTGTTTTAGAGGAGAAAATTAGGTCTTTTTTTAAACTCTAACTTTCGACTTCTTCGATTTTGTAAACCTTAAAAGATTACTTGTCCTATCAAGCTATCTTTTTTCTATTAGTTAACTTCAATCATTAGTCCTTCAATAAGGATGATTCCTTAATTTGAAATGATCTTGAGAAGGAGAGGAGTATTTATAATTTCTCAAGATGTATTCTTTTCGAGCATCATTTTTTATCTTTTCAACTTGAGCAAAGGTCTCTCTAATTGAAACCTCTAGACTCTAAGTCACTTAATGAGTAGCAATCATTTCCCTAATCATTTATGTATAGTTATTGCATAACCCCTATTGACTTAAATTTTCTTTTCTGTTTGAACTCTCTCTATGGTGTGGCTTCTTCTTTAAAGCCATACCTTGTATGAAAAGATGACCCATCTATTTGGTGCTCCTTAGTTGCCGTTATTTAGTAATTTACCAGTCTTTACCACCATTGTGGGCCAAAGCACCACTCTTGAAGTCAAATTTATGGTCTTTCGATCGCTTCCTAACCTTATCAATGTATGTCTCTAACCCGTGCAAAGCTAGAACCGAGCTAATTCCTCTTCATGGGTTAGATCATACCATTTATAATCTTTATGAGCATTTAGAAAATCCATGAACTCGGTAGCACTTATCCGTCATGTGTAACATAGTAATATGCCATACGCAGTAATGGTTAAGATTTGAGTCTTCCGAATGAGAAATCAAAGAACTCTTTTGTTGACCATATGGTTGAAAACCTAAGTAGCCACTTTAGTAGCCTTTGACATAATAAATTATTCCCGCAAATCAAATAAGTTGAAAACGACAAAGGTTAAAATGTCGACAACTATTGGAAAAGGATCACTATCAACTTCTATAATTTTTTCTTTATCAAAAACAATTAATTCTTTTGACTCTATTAAGTCTTGAATTAAATTCCTAAATAAAACACAATTATTAGTTGAATGAGAGGGAGTGTTATGCCATTTATAGAATTTCCCCTTTTTTAACTCTTTTAAAGTTGGTAATTTGTGTTTTCCATCGAACTTGATCCTATTGTTGGCTAAAAGCTAAGCAAAGATCATATTTACTTTATTAAGATCGAAAGAATATTTACAATCTTCCTTTGACTTAAAACTCACAAAAGCTTGTATATTTTTTTGTGCTAACTATTTACGGACTACTAACTTCCTTTCAACATATTTTACGAAATCAACATCGACCATAGTAGAATCTTAATAATATATTTCAATCATTACACTCTTTTATAGTGATTTTTTCTGTAGAATTGCTTCAAAATTTAAAGCTTTTTCAATTAGTTCATAAAGGTTCCGAAACACTATGCCCTCAAATTTCTTTCTGAAATTGAAATCCAATCCATCTTACGCAAAGCACAAAAACTCACTTTTAGGTAAATTGACTTAGCATCAAACTTTGGCTCGTGTAAACTTTAAAATAAAATGCTCGTAGATTTGCTATGGAACTACCTTAATCTTGCTAAATTTACCATTGAAATGTTAGGATTTGTTCTAAAAACCTATGCTTGAAATGCATTCCGCATATCTCATTAGGTAAAGGTGAAATTTGGTAACAAATTAATATACCAAGTGAATACTATAGTAGTTAAAGAATTAGGGAAGAGTCACAATTTTAGAAAATAATCTCTTGATAACTCTCTCGCATTGAAATGTAAATCGACAACATGTTCTAGAGCGAATACATTATCCTTGATAAAAAAAAGGTTAATTCGAAAGCTCAAAATCCTCTAGAGAAAAGATATTCCTTGTCGATGTAATCTAGATATAGCTTTCGATCAATAGGACAATTAACCCTATGCATTCGTGGTCCATACATCATTTCGATCATATTAGCTAAAACTTCTTGATTCATTTCTCCATGCATATTTCTAGGGATATCATATGGTGTTGAATTGTTTTCTCGAACCGTAGTTATAGTTGGTTCATTCTATAGTGGAAAACTACTTGTTGCCCTCGGGGGTATGTTTGAAGAAAGGCCATAATATTATATCGACATAATTACGAGAACCGCCAAGAAGAATAGCCATTAATTTTTCTATCATGAGTATGTCTATTAATATTCTGTGGCACATCATGATCATTTCGCTATCGAAAGGTCTATTAGGAACATAAGGTGAGTAACCCAAAGGAATTTCCATTGACTTGATTATTGATGATCTTATTTCCGCATTGATATTGAAATTTTTTTCTTCGCTTGTCTTTTTCCTTTTTCTTCTATCAAAACCATAAGTTGTTGAACATCCTCTCTCATTATTTGAGTAATGTTTGCAATTGTCTCAAACCTAGGTTCAATGGTGATCTCAACTTCCTTAGCAACTTGTCTCGCTAGTGGAAAATAGTTTCATTAAATAAGTGATTTACATCTATAATCACTCTATCACTATGATAATGTATACAATTTGATAATTTGGCAGTATGGTTATCAATAATTTTACTATTTTTCTTCAATGAATCGGCTATAAAGGCTCTTATTTTGCTGAGATCCTTCCTAAATTGGTTCAACATCAATTATATTTATCGATTTATCCGACTATCGATGTTTAAAGATGGGTCATATATCCTTTTCTTAATTCTTTAATTTGATTTGACAACATCTATTGAAATTTAACAACCCATTCTTCTATTAGTTATCCTTGATGTTATTATTTCTATTTATGGAACCATCACTTCTTTCCGAACCCATACATTCTCAACTTTTGACATCAAACCTCTTTTGACTATCAAGGTTGCCCTTTGTTAGTTACACTTTTAGATTTTGCTTTATTGTCATCCTTGGTTTTCCCTTGATTATAGTTTTCCATAGTTTCCATTAGAGGTTGACTTTCAAAAATTTGGACCATATCTTCGACGTAAACAGGGAGTGTTTTGTCAATTTAGCCCTTTTTAGAGAGTTAACATCTCGTTATACTTGTAGTAGTACTACATTTTGCCATTACTCTCCCACTCGTGGTCGCCAAAACTTGTTGCTTGCTCAACGAATTCGGTCTCGAAACGAGTAGGTCGACGTTTTAATTTATGATCAAGAACTTCGTGATGAAATAATATGGGGTTCGATTTCGCCTAGAAAGCCACCGAGACTTTTCGTGGATACTCAATTTAAAGAAAAAGATAAAATAAAAGGAATGTTATTAATCGGATTAAATAACACTCGAGAGATAGAGAGATTTTGTTAATTGAAAGAAACAAAACTCACTAGAGAAAATATAAATATCATAAATCAAAAGATATGACTCTTACATCATTAGCCATTAAAACACTCGAAGCCATTTGACTACAATCAAAGATGAATCGATACTTTCTAGGTTACAATAACGAAACTATTAAAAGCGATACAGTGCTATCAAACTACTTACAAGAATGTAGAATCTAATTGCTACAGGATAAACTAGAAAACTTGAATAAATTTGTTTTGAATACTTTCTATGTTACAATAATGAAACTATTAAAAGCGAGACAGTGCTATCAAACTACTTGCAAGAATGTAGAATCTAATTGCTATAGGATAAACTAGAAAACTTGAATAAATTTGTTTTGAAAAAGTCTTGTATGTTGATTGTAATTGTTTGATTGTATTATTGTCTCTTCTTTAAACGAGTTAACGATCGATAACTCGCTTTAAATTTGAAGTTGGGTATGAACAGTTATTGGTAACTCGTCCATTCCTTTCCTTCGATACACGTTGGTTTGTCGAATTTAGTCGATTACAAGACTAAACACATCGTTTCATTTAAGTCTTATCGTTTCATTAAGTTTGGTTTGCTTATAAGACCAAACGTTTCGTTTCATTTAAATATATTTATTTCGTCAAAACTTGAATGGTTACCAAACACATTGTTTTATTTAAGTCTCACTCTTTCATTGAAGTTTGGTTGGTTATAAGACCAAACATATTATTTTATTTAAGTCTTATTGTTTCATTGAAGCTTATTTATTTATAAAATCAAACATACAGTTTCATTGAAATCTTACTGTTTCATCGTTAAAGGATACTATATTTGACCCAACGTGTGACTTATTAAATTTTGAGGTGCCAACAATGACGTCACAAAAATATAAAAAACAAAAAGACGTGTCATTCCATTAATCAATTTTAGGGAGGTTCGTAGCAGTCACCCATCTCGGGAACTTCAATAATTGGAAAATGACTACTCAAAATTGCCTTCTGGTTGATTTACTTTCCTTTGCGCCCAAGTCCCAACTCGTCTTATAATTGGACTTAACCGAGTTAATTTCTTTGCCTTCTATTATAAATAATTAATGTCCCTACATGTTATTAGCCCTTTATCCCCCATATCCCTATTTGTCCAAATTGAGTTTATCATCAACTGTCTTTTATGGATTCATCAAGAATTTCCCTCCGTCCCTTTCAGCTCTCCGATATTGATGACTTCCTGAAATGGGCTAGTGATGATAGGGTAACCCGTTATCTAAGATGGAACTCCATTACCTCTAGAGAAGAAGCCTTGACATATCTTGAAAAGGTTGCCATACCCCACCCTTGGCGTCGGTCCATATGTTTGGATGATCATTCAATTGGATACATTTCGATCTCTCCGGAGTCTGGTGATGATCGATGCAGAGCACGCCTTGGATATGCGTTGGCTGCGGAATCTTGGGGACAAGGGATGGCTACAATTGCGTTGAGGATGGCTGTGTCTAGTGTGTTTAAAGAACTTCCAGATTTGGTTAGGCTTCATGCTGTTGTGGAGGTGGAGAATAAAGGGTCTCAAAGGGTCCTGGAAAAGGTTGGGTTTTTGAAAGAGGGTCTGCTGAGGAAATATGGGTATTGTAAAGGTAAAATTAGAGATATGTTTGTCTATAGTTTCCTGTCTACAGACACTGTTGTGTAATTTATAGGGAAATTGAGAGCGATGCCCTTTTGCTCATTTTTTTTTTTTAAATTTTTTTTTGATAAACCAGGTTGAATTTCAACACGCAGTTCCAAGCATCATGAAAAGCTATCAACATGTTCTTTGCATCCAAACAATCTCTACAATCGTTACTTTATTTCGCGAAGAAAATATCTATAGGAAAATATAAGAAAGCACAACAATTACCGATGGCTTTGCTTTTACGGTATAGACTAATTGTTTGAGGGGTCTGATTCCAGTAACCATGGGTCAAAATACATCAATTTTGCAAAATTTAAAAATACCCTTGACTATATGTGTAGTTTCGACTAGCCTACGTCCCGCGCGTTGCTACGGGATGAGCTATACAACATCGTTATATGTTCATTCATATAAAATACAAAATTCAAATATAATTATTTAACATGATCACTCAAAAAAAATATAAAAAAAAAATCAAAGCATATATCTCATATTTTGTTGTAGGATTAGCTAAACGAAAAGTCTATAAAGTTAAGTAATATAAAGTTGTTAATTAGATATTGTTTCATATAAACATGTATTTTATTAGAAATGTATAAATAACCAGTAACTAAAATAATAATGTGGTAGTTTTTTGAATTTTAAATGATTAATTTTTATCATATATTTTTCATTTGTAATTTGTTAATGAGATAGAGAGACCACCCAAAACAAAAAAACCAAAAAACTTAGTCAAATCGAGAATTTGGTAAAAAAAAAAAAATAGAGATAAAATTACACATGATAAAAATTAAATGATCAAAACAAAGTAATTATCATAAAAGAAGGACTAAAATAAAAAACAACTTTCACTAAAAGCAAAAAAAAAAAAAAAACTTATAATCATGCATAAGGTAGGAATAAAAGTCAAACATGATAGAATTTTAATGATCAAAATATAAAAAAATCACAAAATAAGAACCAAATAGAAAATTTTTTTACTAAAAAAAAAATTTAGAATAGTGAAACCGTATTTAATTTTAGTGTAGAAAAAATAATAATCAAATATAATAAAACTTAAATGATCAAAATAAAAGAAAGCTCACAAAATAAAAACCAAAATATAACAAAAAGTTTTACGAAAAGTAAAAAGTAGTTCCTTATAGGGAAAAAATAAATATAATAAAAATTTAATGATCAAAATAAAAAACAATTACAAAACATGGACTCAAAAAAAAAATTCTACTAAATTTAATGACCAAAACAATGAAAAAAAAAACACAAAACATGAATTATAATAGAAAAAAAAGTTTCACTAAAAGAAAAAAGTTGAGGACAGTGAAACTTTATTTAGTTTTAGTATAATAAGGATAAAAATCAAATATGATAAAATTTTAATGACCAAAATAAAAACATCTCACAAAATAGAAACAAAAAAATAAAAAAAAATTTACTAAAAGCAAAGAAAATTTTTTTTATTATAGGGACAAAATCAAATATAATAAAATTTCAATATTTCTTATAGGAACAAGAATCAAATATAATAAAATTTTAATAATTATAAGAAAAAAATGTTAATAAATAGGAACTAAAATAAAAATAAAGTTTACTAAAAGCCAAAAGAGGTTTCAGTGGCAAAAAAAGAAAAACAAATATTGAATAGTTAATAAATAGTGATTATAGGGATAAAAGTTAAATTTAATAAAATTTTAACGATCAAAAGAAAAAAAGTTATAAAATAAGAACTAAAAACAAAGTTTATGAAAAGCCGGAAGAGGCATTGCCGAAGAAGAGGGAAGAAAAAAACCAAAAGCCAAAAAGGCTTGGCGCGAAAAAAAAAGAAAAAAAGAACAGTTAATGAACAGTAAAATGGTACAGTAGTTTTTGGTTTTCTTTTAGTATATCTGATAATTTTATATCCAAATTATTTTTTGTTACATTTTTTTCATCATTTTTTTTTTAAAATAAGAATTTTATTCATTTTTTAAGGTTTTTTTTTCATCTATATTTTCATTTAAATTATATTTTTCTTTCGATAAAAAATGACATCATTTTGTAAAAACTTAATATTTTCGTCAAATGTTCTAACATAAGTTATTAATTGACATGGTAAATTGATACCACATATAGTTTGTATGTAAAAATGATACTATCCTAATAGTTTAGGAGAATATTTAAGGTTTGCACATTCATTTTTAAATTTAAACACTCTTTATGTCGTGAATCGCATAGCTCCAAAAAGATTCAACATTTTGAGCAAGAACGTTAGACGTACGGATTGTGAGTTCTGTAAAAATATGGTTCTCCACATACAGCTACATCTGTGAATGAATTGGTGCAAATCGTGAAAAAAAAGTTGATAAAAAAAATAAATACCAACAAATTGTTTGTAGATTAATCAACTAATTGGTCTTTAAACTAATTTTTTTTTATCAATATACAAGATTTAAATTCTAAAATTATTTTTTATAAAAAATTAAATCTTATCATTTTCGTTACAAACAAAATTAAATACATTTCTAATATAAAATGAAAATATCTATATAAAAGGAAAAAAAGAAAAAAAAAGGTATATGATGGAGTGGGCCGAGGCATGGGTTACAGTTAATTGACAAGTTCAGTACATACTATTTGTTTGTATTGCAAGATATGGCCTCCTATCTGTCAAAGATGTGTGCTACATTATAATAATACGAGCCCACAGTAGATCATATGCATCAATTAGATACTTATTAATTTTTTTGCTTATGCTATGTCGCAGATTGAATAAAATATATTAAATTATTAAAAAAATTATTTCAGCTTGATAGTTTGTTTTATAGTGTGAATCTATAAAAATATATAAAATCAAAAGTGAAAATTTATTTATAATTTTTTAATAAAAAATTTTATTTTTAACTATTTCTTATTTGTATTTTTCATAATTTTTTCTGTAGGAAAAAGTTTTATCCTTGTTAATCCATGGATTATTAACCAAAAAGAAAATTAAATAATTTTTTTAAAAAAAAGATTTAGTATTTCATAAAATTGTATCGAAAAACATAAATAACAATTATTAAAAGCTTACATATACTTGAATAAATAATTTTTTTATTTAATGTTGATGAGAATATCAATTTTTGAAAAAACAAATGTGAATTTCATTTTTATATATTTATTTACAAAAGAATGACTAATAGTAAAATAAAAAGCTATATTAATCTGAATCATTAAGTGGTTAAGCCAAAAAAATTATTTTAATTATTTAATTTAAAATAAGTAATTTAAAATATTCAAAAACAAACAAATAAACAAGTAAATGCTTAGTGCAGTAGTAGTTGCATAGTTAATTTATAAAAAAACAAAGATTCAATATTTTTTTATAAATCATAACTATACTAAATAAGTTCGAGTTTTCATTCTTAAAAAAAAAAAAAATTAACTTATAAGGAATCTATTGACTAAATTTGAAGTTAATATACTAAAATAAAAATTATTACAAATTTGATTTTGACTAATTTTGATTATATAAAGAAGAAAAAAATTAATAAAACATGTGAATTCTTTTTTTCCCCCTCCTTAAATATTTTTTTAGTTCTATGTTATGCATGGCTAGTCTTTGGATACGAGCCTTATGCGAAGGGTAACTCGTCTTTTTTTTATTTTTCACATTTGACTTTCAACTATTAATTAATTAATTTGAGTGTTTTTTCTAAAAATAATTAAATTTTTTTTAAACACACTTTTAATATATATATATATATATATCATGCCACTATAATTTAAAATTTATCTAAATCTATTTTTCAAAAGAAAAAATAATCTTGTTCTGAAACTCTATTCCAAAATACATACATATAGAAAAATAAATCAAAATTATCGGTAAATATAATTTTAAATTAATTGGATGAGAATTTTAGAAAAATGACAAATTAAAGTAGTAAATTTTAAATAATAAAAATAATCAACAAAAAATACTAAAACAAAATGGAATCAAATCAAAATATAATCAAAGTTTGAAATTAAAAAAAAGAAGAGAATTTTAAAAAAAATAAAAAATTAATGTAGTAAATTTTAAATAATAAATAAACTGAGAAAAATTATTTGGAAAACAGTTTTAATCTAAAAAAGTTCAGAAAAATTATATATATATATATATATATATATATATATATATATATATATATATATATTAATCATGCCACTATAATTTCAAAAATATTCAAATCTATTTTTTTTAAAAAAATTATATTCTAACAATTTATTTCAAAAATAAATAAAAATTGTCAGCAAATATAATTTTAAATTAATTGAATGAGAATTTTTTTAAAAATGACAAATTAAAGTAGTAAATTCTAAATAATAAAAATAATTAACAAAAAAACACCAAAACAAATGAGACGAAATCACAATATAATCAAAGTTTGAATTTGAAAAAAAAGGAAATTTTTTTAAAATGACAAATTAATGTAGTAAATTTTAAATAATATAAAAAACCAAGGAAAATTATTTGAAATACACTTTTAATCTAAAAATGTATTTAAGAAAAATTTTATATATTAATCATGGCATTATAATTTTAAAATTATCTACATCTATTTTTTAAAAGAAAAAATAATCATATTCTAAAAATTTATTCCAAAATTCATACATACAGAAAAGTAAATCAAAGCTATCAGCAAATATAATTTTAAATTAATTGGATGAAAATTTTAAAAAATAATAAATTAAAGTAGTAAATTTTAAGTAATAAAAATAATTAACAAAAAATACTAAAAAAAAAAGTGACCGAATCACTTGAAAATGTAGCAAGAGAGAAAAAAATGATTTATTACAGGGATGAAAATTAAATATATTAAAATTTTGATGAATAAAATTAGAAAAGATTACAAAATAGGGGCTAAAATGTAAAATTATTCAAAGCCAAAAGAGGGGTAAAAGCAGAAGAGAGAGAGAAAAAGCCCGGCTACATCAACCAAACCAAAAAAAAAAAAAAAAGTTAACTAAAATTTTAATAACCAAAATAAAAAAGTTACAAAGTGAGGACTAAAATAAAAATA